GTAAGTTTTCAACAATAACAAGAGGTTATTTGTACTATTGAGGCTATTGTGCCGTGTGGCGATTCTTAAACAATTATGTGGTGTCGAATATATAGAATGAACAAAATATCCATAAAATAGCATTTCCTGTTAGTAACGAATGCCTATATTGTCACGAGGGACACGCATCACACAGCGTATGTGCAGTACCCATTCAAGTCAAGTTCCCATTTATAGGTTCACACCCTTCCTGAAAATATTTTCAGCTTCTTCAGTCATCAATAAGCTGCCAATCCAGGCAGGATAGAAGACTCTCATTTTAAGTGCGTTAAAGTCATTTTTTATTGGCTTACATCCATCAGTTGCAGTATGATTACTAATAATCAATACCACACCTGTTTCGTCTTGGATACAGAAAATGGAAAACAAGCAAGCGGATGTGGTCTTCTGAAAAATTCAGTAAGTAGTACGCGAGGAGGTGACTGCTGCAGCCTAGTTTGAAAATACTGATACACTCCGACCCATAAGTCGAGAATGTAAGAAAGACTCCTTCACATTATAGCCATATTGCACGACAGTGCTCTAAGATTGCAGGATGTTGTCCGCCATCATAGAATAGGTAGCTTTTAACAGGAACCTACTGACATATTGGAAAGGTCCAAGAGGACTTCACGTGCATTCTGCAAGGTCCCTGGGCTTAAGCCCTTAGGTTATTCCCTATGGAGCCATCATATGTTACTACATGGAATATGCATGTGATACAAATATCGGTCGATTATTTTTATTGATAACCTACATTGCTACAGAATGACATCTTCAACCTTATTTTATCACCATAAAGTCGTTCAACATGTAGCCTGTGAAACAGAAATTTCATAGTTGAACTTTTCTACTAAAATCCACCGTTTTGTTTTCATAAAATTTTAGTAAATACAATAACATTCTCATTGCAAAGACTAATCCAACAGCGCCTCATATGTCAAAATCCATCTATGTGTTTGACCTGTAGCCCGTGAAATAGAATTGATTGCACACCTACGCGCGAAAAATATGAATCCCTTTTTGAGGCAATTGGGCGATAAAAATGGAAAAAGTACACGGTAAATTTAAAATATTGAAACGCAATGTTATTGGCGTAACGTTACCATTTGCGACTTGTGACCAGTCAACCTTTTACTGATTTTATGGATTTAAAATGGCAGGCCTTTGATCTGTCATTGATTTTCAATCTGCTAGTTGTTTGATCATATCAATGGAATACAGTTGAAGACACAAATGGATAAACATGTAACAAAGTCACTGTATGGAGAAAATTGACGTTGAACAGTTTTTATTGGGACTCTATACTTTATTGACATTTTAAATATTTATATAATATATAATGTTTTTGCAACAAACTAATAACAGAATGAAATAATCACTCCTTAATGTTAGTCTAATAAAAAAAGCAGTTATTAAAAAAAAGTTACATTGCACCTTTATCCACTTGTAGTTTTAGTTGTTTTACAACTTTCTCCTGTATTTGTGATCGCAGACCTAGTTCTTGAGATATAACCAATGACTGAAAGTGGCTTTCAAAAAGCACAGTCAGATAATCTTCCGAAAATATATACTTTTATGATGACTTCATATATTATTACCATCAACACAGCCCTTGCATCAGCGAAAGTAGTAATACCTATACTTTGTAAATTTACAAACAAATGAAATGTCAAAAGCAAGTCAGCAAACTAACCAAAATGTAAAATATCATGTCGTGAACAGTGCCCTCTCTGCGAAGCGCGTCAAAAATGCAGCGTTTAACTCAACATAATTGACATTGCAGTTTCAAATATTTTACTAAAAATAGATATAAACGTTTCTATTAATGTATACTTTATCTGAAGTCACTTGAAACACTGTGAAATACCGGGTGCGTTTTATATATCTATATTTAACACGCTCTGTTGCTGCAAAAATCGCCAAATTTCGCAGCAAATATCCCCCGTATAAGAGATCAAAGGCAGTTTCACCGGTCCACGTGGAGTAAAGCACGCCTATGCGTGGACATAGCCAATGAGAAAGCGTGTATTTCAGAGCTCGGAACAAGTGCAGGTGGCTACTGAAAATAGAAACAGTTTAGCCAGTGCCGTGTAGCGGTGAATAAACGTGTTTTCTTTAGTCTGTCCGTGTTTTTTCATAGATTTTATCAGTTTTTGTGTTTTTGACTTTTGAATACTCAGTTTACTTGTTGATTTAATTGTTGTATTGATTGTTCTTGTGTGTCCTAAATATGGCTCTTTGGTGGAGACCTTGGGAAAATGCTCCAAGCCACGAGGAGATGGTTGATGAACCTGTGCAGGCAGAATTCTTTCATAAAGATTTAGAGGAACAGACCCAAAGAGTAATCCTAAATATGTATGATTGTCTGAAAAACGAAAATCCAGATTCCTCGCAAAATCAAATTTTAAACAGAATTTGTATCCTGACAAAAATCAGTTGGTCTACCATTTATCGGGTTATAAAACCCATTCCTTCCACAGAAAGCGCATAGGGCAAAAATTAAAAAGTATAGACGTGGGTTTTCAGGAAGATATTCGTCGTATAATATACGGATTTTATAAAGAAAATTTGGTGCCCACGTTGGAAATGATACGGGATAAATTAAAAGATTATCCTGAAGATTTTTATAATTACAAATGCTTAGACTCACTGCACTGTATTGTAAAACTGTGTGGTTTTCAATACAAAAAATTAGATAAAAGAATGGTGATTATGGAGTCGTCTCGAATCGTTGAATTGCGCCAAGAATTTTTGCACAAAGTTAAAATCTATAGAGAGCAGAAAAGAAATCTGATTTACCTGGATGAAACGTGGTATGATACCCATGATGTTGTGCAGTACGGCTGGGTTGACGACAGCAACAAGTGCATTTTAAATGCACCATGCAACCGTGGAAAACGAATCATTATTCTCCATGCTGGCAGTGAAAATGGATTTATACCTAATGCCTTGCTGTTATCTGCCAAAAATATCAAAGAATCATGTGCCGACTATCATGAGGACATGACCTCCGACTTATTTGAAAAGTGGATAGAGCAGCAGTTAATACCAAACATTTCCCCAAATTCAGTGATTATTATGGACAATGCGCCATACCGTTCCTGACAGAAAAACAAAATTCCGAATACAGGCACAAAAAACAAGACATTATTGATTTTATGAAGGATAAGGGAATGGAAATACCACAAAAATCAACCAAAGCCATATTATTGGATCTTATTAAAAGACAAAAATTTGAAAAAGAGTATGTTGTTGACAATCTGCTTCAGCAAAATGGCCATGAAGTATTACGTCTACCTCCCTATTACTGCATTTTTAACCCGATTGAGTTGGTCTGGGCTGCTTTAAAAAAAAAGTAAGAAAACATAATCAGACCCCTCAATTAAGTGAATCGCTATTGGCCACAATAAGAGATGCAGTATCTCATATTGCTACCACAGACCTATGGAAGCAGTGTTCTAGGCATATTATTGAAAAAGAAAATGAATATTGTGTTTTGCCTCCTGTAAATCCGTTGTAATTCCTCTACAAGATGACTCTAGCGACAGCTCCGAAGGCGAGGATGATATATAAATACCTATAATGTAAGTCTTTATATACCTTTTTATATACCTACCTGCTATGTAAATATTTGCCCATGTCAAACGTTGGAATTCTGTAATTTTTCCATTTCTTAACTTTCAGTCAACATAAATTAAACTCCCAATATAAGTATTTTTTATCCCAAATCAAAAAAATAAGAAGATAGTAAAATCCATTTATTGTGATATAAAAACATTATTATTATCGTTCTAAATAAATGCCGCACGCCTATGATACGTCATAAAATTACAAAGAACGCGCCGACCAAAGGTTTTTATGCTATTTCAACTGACTTCAGATACACCATACTTTTGTCTTTAGGGCATTATATTAACGTAAATGATCGGCAGCGAATACAAAAAAGTATCGTCCATATTCAGAATTGCTGGCTGGAGCGCATATATTGAGCAGCTTCTGTAAATTAAGAAGCTCCACGTGAAAATAAACACTGTTGTAATTGCACATCACCTGGTGTATTCAAAGTAGTCTTAGAGGAATTCAAAGAAACGCCATTTAAATTTGTTCTCCTTGTTTTGGAAACGCTCTTTACAATTGAATGCCCTGCCCTATTGATCTACTCTTTTATTCGCCAAATCAATGTAAATATGTTTCATTGCTTATGAAACTCCGACAAAAACCTCCACAGTTCTCGCAGGCCCATTCCAACATCGATTAGACAAATTAATCAAATATTATTGTTAGTAAAATTTTTGGAATGAGAGTTGTCGATCAATACCACTTTCATAAAATTGTGACTATTTACTCGAAAAACAAATTTACTACACTCTAAATCACTAATTTATCACATCACTTATAACTTATTTATTAGCTAATTTGTTACAGAGTCGCAATTCCCTGTTTGCATCGCTGACTGACCATTGACTGAACTGCATGCTTCTCCGATTCCTGCCTTTATACCTCTGTATTACCTGTTCTCGATCTGCTTCAAGAAGTTTGAGGGCAATCGAGGTTTTTTCTCGAGGTTCTAGAATCCATAGTCTCGGTGGTTGCCGATAAATGGCGCCACTAGTTAGGGGAGACCGGCATGGTTGACTAGTTTTCTACATCATACATATTTTTTGTACTTTTATACATACGGACAATAAAACTGCATCAATGAATAGAAGAACTATTGAACTTATAAAAAAGTATAAAAACTAGTCCATAATTCAATATAACGATCATAATTTAATGCATTTTACAGAACACCAATTCTTGATTAACTATATGCCCGGGGTAAGTGGACTTTCTTATCAATAAGTGACAAATTATGAGAAGAATCAAGTTATAAAACTTTTTTTATAATTTAACAACACTTTACAATAAGTCTTTAACAAAACTATCAACTCCTAGTTATTATTTAAACATTTATTAGTTTCATTAATTAAACAGTTCCTTTATATATTATAATATAGGTCTTCAATATCAGAAGCGCAATGTTTGCATTCAAAAAACATTAGATCACCTCTTACACATTTGGAATGAGCCCATAACTTACAAGTTATGCATTGTTCGCCTGGAACACTAACGACGTAGGATTCAGTGCACTCTAAACAAATCGCACTCTCGTCATCTGAATCTACAGCATTACCGTCATTTTCATCGACGGTATCATCAGCAATCTCATCAACTCTATCCGTTCCTTTTCCCTTACCCTTTCCTTTTCCTTTGCTCTTTCCTTTTCCTTTTTCTATTCTGTCCTTTGTATCTGTTTTTTTCTTCTTATATGTTTCTCTTTTGTATTTCATATCTGAAGGATTCAGTTTTCCGGGGTGTCGGTATCTATAGTACTTGTACCTTTCCGAATATTTCTTCTATTGTCTAAAAGTGACGTCGCTTATGGAAAGGGTCTTAGCTCCTCAAATGTTGCTGATGAAGTTGAGGAAAGGTTTAGATTGTGTAAAGATCGGGGCACATTTGCTTCTGTAGAATTAACGTTTTCTGGTGTTTTGAGGTTTTCTCTCAGTTCCGGTACAAATACAGAATTGAATGTTTCGTCAAAAAGAGAAGGTGATCACATTCAGTCCTCAAAGATCTTGTAGGAGGGGTTGTTGTGGTAGTAATCTGGTCTGTATTTACAGATAAACATTGCGGTGCCAGAGAGTGAGTTTCAGTTATTGTATGGTGATCAGGAATTGGAACCTCTTCGACGGTAGACAACCTGTTAGATGCATCAAAAGTCGATGGAACAGACACTGTGCTTACATCACATGCTGAAGGATTATCACCATCAGGGGAAGTGAGCATTGGCCTATCTGTCACATAAGAACCACTAAACTCGGAGCTAGGAAAAATGTTTTCATTCAATGGTGAAATCTCGGATACTCCGAATCCTGATTAAATATTTTCAGCCAATGGTAGTGACGTTTTATCCAGCTCCGGTATTTCATAAATTGTGATAGTTTTTCCCAGGTTACTAGCCAGCCAGTTGTCACATGCTCGGTGGAAATACTTTTTCAATGGTCCGTACACAGATCTGTCAAGAGATTGTAGCTTGTGGCTGCAATGTGGACGGAATGATAAAACTGTCTCCCCATTAGTTTTGAAGTAATCCAACGCTTCAAGTGAGAGTCATGGTTATCCAACAACAAAAGTTCAGGTTTTTCTTTAGTAGGTCTAACATGTTTCACGAAATGTTTGGAGTACTTCATAAAGTTCTCTTCTTTCATCCAGCCAGACGGATTAGCATCACCTTCACATCCTATAGGGTTACCTCTAATAGAATGGGACTTATAATGGACGCGTGGGAATACGAAAAATGGTGGAACTATGTTTCCTACAGTTGAAACAGCTACTACAAATGTCACCAGTGTAACCCTCTCAGCAGATGTCATCTTGCCTAGATTTTTAACATCACGTCGTGCTATTACTCTATTAGGTACTTGCACGGTTGTCAAACCTGATTCATCAACGTTCCAGATATCATCAGGGCTAAAATTCAAACGTTGGTAAACAGCAGTTAAATTAGCGAAGAACATACTGACGTTATGTTTGAGGTTATGATGTAGCTCTTAAAAGACTTGTTGCTTGAGGTGTCCTTATGAATGAAGAAAGATGACGTTTGAGAAACGAGCCTAACCAATCTTCGCCAGCTAACAATTTTGTTCTCCAAGAATCAGGCATAGCTTTGTTACTTTTTATGGCGAACTGACATGCTAATTTTTGGGTCTCATATGGTGTCAATCCATAATAAATATCAGCGGCTTCCTTTAAATAACTTAATAAAGCTTTTTGTTCTTCATCAGTGAAAACTTGCCTAATTTTAATATATCCCACTGAGTCAAAAGTTAATTCTGCTCTCGTCAAGTTCGGATTACGTTCCAGTTTCTCCTTTAGTTTCGCCACATAACGATGTAATGTCTTATAGGGAATGTCATATTGTTTTGAAGTTGCATCAATACTTTTTGTGTCAAAAATTATTAGATGACAAGCTCTTTCTAGGACATCTTTTAGTGTATCAGCTCGTTCAGTCCTTTTTTTATAGGTCCTCATTGTACTGTAACAAAATGAATATTAAAATACGAATAAAAGGTTAATTTACGAGATATTTTAAACTTCAAATTATATTGGGGTTGGTTGACTAACTATTCAACCAGCCCCGAAAGAAGTTAGTCTACCAACCTCAGACGACATTTTAAGTTTCAATGGCATGGGTTACTTAAACAGTGCCATCAACTCAAGAAATAATACATGAAATATTATCAATATGCACTCACGAAATACTATGACTAATAGACAAATGGTTAACATAAAATATGTAAGTGTCAGATGGAAAAATATGCAATATGAAAATATTACTTACATGATACGAAAACAAATCACGTGTCACTGTTCCAAAACGGCGAGCATCCCCGACGTGGCGCTCCGAACGGGTCGGAGAGTAATCAGGGCTCGAAGCGTCTGGTTGTCTCAGAGCTTGTCCCTCTCACAAACTAAGAGCAGTATTTATATTTCGATCAGATACAGCACTCAGTCAATCTATTTGACCCAATTTTGCCGCCAACTCTAACCAAATACAAGTTTTGTTGTCCATGCAACCTCAATAAGAACCTTCAAAGTTCTCGTCTAGCTGGTGCCAGATCACGTCCAGCCCATCATCTATTACGCAAATTAATCAATTCTGCTTAGTACAGTTAGAAAGAGCGGCACCGTGGCGGGTTTGCTTGCAAATTCCATCAATCATGAACAGTAGCAAACTTGGACGAACGCGATTTCGATCGCGATCCCGAGTGCTTAATTTGAGTGTGCCCGAAAAAATGATTAACGATAACCGCATCGATGGAAGAATAAGTTATCGTCGACCAAATGGAGGAGTAAAAATCGATTTTATCAGGCGGCATTTTGGGTGAAGACACTGGACCGTGATATTTATTGGAGTGACAGCCGAGCAGTTAAAACAGCATTAAAAGTTGTTCGTCCAAATTACAATCAATGTTCTTGGCTTGAAAATATTTAGAGTTTTACATATTAGTTCATTTGGCTGAGATGTTTGTTCCTTAACGAATCCCTTACACTGCCAACACGTCACTGGTAGAGACGAAATTTGGTATAGTCTGCAACATGGCTGGTAAAAGAGATTTTTAGTAGGCAGAGTTTACATCTTCATTACACAGTCAGACGAGGTTGAGGGAGGTGGATTATTACAATATCCTAGAAGCATGGTAAAGATCAAATCACATTAGAGTATTGGTTAATGAGGAAGCTGGGTAAATATGACAAGGAAAAGAGCTGATCTCTCCACTACATCCCAGAAACAATTGTGCGCCATGTAGTACCTAACACAGCCTTATACGGTCCGCTATCGTCTAATTAGTATCAAGTGAATACCAAGAAAAAGCCCAACGAGGGAGTCACTCAATCGAAAAGGCTGATGGAGGTTCTCAGAATCTACCCCAGCAGAATATCAAAACGTTTGTAGGAAAGATTTTCTACTAAAGACTAGTTATGCAGACCACAACTACAACATAGTATCAATAATAATGAAATAATAATATAACTGATAATAGTAATAATAATAACAGTAATAATAATAACAGTAATAATAATAATAACCTGGGAGTAGATGAGAGGGAAGAAAATGAAAAGTAATGGACAAAAAGAATACATCCGCCGCATAAACATTGTGCAAAACTGAACTCGAAGAATAAAATCCTGTCAGTGCCTGTGATATCATATAGTTTTAGCATACTAAATTGGAAGAGAGAAGAACTTAAAGAAATGGACAGAAGGATACGGAAAATACTCACTATGCATGGTATGCACCATCCCAAATCCGATGTAGATAGGCTCTATATAAAAAGAAAGGATGGAGGTCGTGGATGAATTAAGATTGATTCAGCATATGGAAATGGTGAACCTACATAAAATATATAATGAAATACTCTTTGATAAAAATATCTGAAGGAGTCCGTGCAAACTATCTCGCTGAGGAACAAGCTCGATTCGAAGTTGAAACAACGGGCCAACAACTGGCTCTCAAAAACAGCAGTGAAGAGCATAGAATTGAATTAATTAATTATAACGTGCCTCGGACATGGTATAGACATAACCCGCCTCCGGCACTGATCGCATCATATCAACTAATCATCCCGACATCGTCATAGGTCAGACAAAACATGCATAATAGTGGATGTAGCTATCCCAGAAGACCAGGACATTACAATTAAAAAGGCTGAAAAGATCTCAAGACATAAAGATTTGCAGATAGAAGTACAGCGCACATATGGAAAGTAGAAGCTAAAGTTATACCAGTTATGATTGGCTTATTGGACGCAGTTAACAATGGAATGCATACGTACTTAGATCACATACGAGGGAAGCCAGATATCTTTGAACTGTAAAAGATTGATCTGTTGGGATCAGCCCACATCCTGGGGAGAGTATTAACATAAGAACCAGCTATACATCAGAACTTTGTTGGCATCCGGTGGCTGGTTCTCTCCGATCGAAGGAAGTCGAGAGTATGTAATTGAATAATAATAGTCGTCTTTATTGCAATTATCCATAAAAAGCGAGCTTTAGTTTGAATTTACACTTACACCTAACCTTAGGTAGACTTACTACACTGGACGATTTTAAAATGAAAAAAATTTAAATACGCAAAATAAATAATCAAACCTATCTTGACACTACAAACTTACTTATCCTGCTCCTGCTGTTATAATGCGCTAATAACTTGCATGTGTTTATCATACAAATATTGCTTAAGTGCTACCCTAAATTTGTTGATGCGGGTAATTGTTTAAGTTCTAAAGAAAGTGAGTTGAAATTAGTAATTGATTGATATGTTAAGCTTCTATGAAAAAGGCTTGTTGAATGAGAAGGCATGTCTAGAGATAGTGGGTCTCTTATGTTTAAAGCATGAAGGTTTGATCTAAAATGTATTTTGTCCTTAAGGTATACTGGAGATGTAAGATCATTGATCCATTTATGTACAAAAATCGTGATATCATGTTGGAGTGCTACTGGAACTCTTAACCATTTCAAATCTTCAATTTATTAGATATATGATCAATATATTGTCCATTATTAAGCAATAGCATACGTTTTGTCATTTGGATTCTGTAAATATAACATACATATGTGATATAAGCAATGAAAATACACTAAGAATCCATATATAACTATAGAGAGAACCAAGATTTCACTTACCTGATTTATGATGAACTATTTAAAAAGCCCTGTATAGGGAGTACTGAGAGACCAAATAGCTTCCAACTTCGAAGATACTTGATAATTTAGTAGGCAAGAACTCTGTTAGCGGTGATATTTTCTACTGACTACTCGTTATTCGTAACGCGGCTACAGAAGGTAGGGTTGGATATTCTAGGCCTATTTCAGACTATTCGGCTATAACTATTTGACAGAGTTCAAAAGCAAAAGTGAATTGTAAAGATTGTTAAGAACACGGACGGGTACGGAGATGTCCGAGTACCTGTAACTGCGGCTCATGATTCAACCACTCACAACCAAAAAAATAGGCTGAACAGATTTCCTCTAGTTATCCACAGGAATATTTCTCAGGACAGGCCGATTTGTATATTGTGAGAGTGCATAGCCCTCCTCGGCCATCCTTGTGGATATAGTTCGGTTGTCTGTCTCCCATAGCAGTTTCCAAATATTTTCTTTTATTTTATCTTTCCCTTTCTTTTCTTAACTAAAGTTCGAGGAATTAAAGAAGTTTAGCCCTTTGCTAACTTCTATTAGCATGGGCGCCAGCAGGATTTTTCCCGTGAGGTGGCGTTTCGACATTGGTAAGAGGAATCTTTTGGCATGTTGTGGAAGTGTATCAGCTTTGAATAGTTTTTGAACAATGGGCATTCCTAAATTCTGTCAAGAATCCGGAATATTGTACACAAAACCATGCTAACTATGCGAATACCAGAAGGCAACCGGATTCTCATAGGGAGATATCATCAACGAACCCCCCTCCCCCCCCCCCAAAAAAAAAGGTCTGGAAGTCTGGAAAAGGAGGGTCAGCTCATAGAGTGAAGGCGAAGCCAAAAGTGACGACAACAAAGGCGAGCCATCTACTATAACAAATGCCCGTAATCTATTCCAGAGCCACGCCCTCCTTAACAATAGTATTTGCCTCATACGAGTACGTATCTTGCTTTAAACAGCTTATCCTCCTTTAGTCTTCCTGTTTCAAACCCGCATATCAAACTATTTTATTCAAAATGCATGTTTTATATCATCATTCTGATGTGATCTTTATCTGTAAAGATTGTATATCTCTCTTTTTTAGAACAAAGATTCTAAGGTTTTTGTCAACGTGAATTCACTCTATTTCATTCGCACAACGTTTCGTTTATGTAGATCTAGACCATCCTCAGGTACACAAAAGATTCCAAACAGATGCAGCTGAACATGCATTAAGCAATGGGGACCACAGTATACTCTTTGGGAGCTGCAGGTTGCTGTCATCAGTCAACGGCTATCACAATAGACTGGTCAGGAAAGCTATCGAGATTCACAAACATCCAGATAACTTCAACAGAAAGGAAGAGGCCCTCAGACTCAACCCGATCTGGCACTCAACCCTCAGAAACGCCCGAGCAGTGCCGATCGACATTCCGAAGTCAACCGAAGCGGAACAAGCCACGTCACCTACCCTCCGGTATAAATACAACCTGCGCAAGAGAAATCGTCAGTCTACATCCAGCATCGGAAATGGAAGGACCTCTAAAGAAGCTTGCCACTCGTGCTAGCGAAACTTTAGGAAGAAATTCCAACCGACGACGACCTTTAGACCCGAATCAAGACAGCAGTTATCAACTAGCCGCGAAAGTCTTAACCAATTTGTAAAATTTCCTGTTTTTTCCTTAACCAGTTTTGTCTGAAGTTTTCTGTATTGATCTGGAGAGTTGGATCCCCTTAAATTTCTATCTAGGTCCATTTCCACCCAGGACTGTGATAGGTTATTTTCTACTATATCCTTGACCTCTCGGATAATACAGAAATCTTCAGACAAAACCGTCTAAGGAAAAGAACCGAAAAATTTATTTGATTACTTTATTGTATTGATTGCCTAGATGACCGAAACGTTATACGAATGAAATAACATGAATTTACGATGACCAAAGCCCAAAAATCTTTATTATAAAAAGTTATAATAACGGTCAGGAATATAATAAGAAATAGCTTATCACGGTCCTGAGTGAAAATGGACCTAAACAGAAATTCAATGAGACCCATCCCTCTCGAACAGTACAGAAAACTTCAGACAAAACTGGCTAAGGAAAAGAACAGAAGAACTTCTTTGAATATTTTATTGTACCTGAGGATGGCCTAGATGACCGAAACTTGTACGAATGAAATAAAGTGAATTTACGTTGACCGAAACCCAAGAATTTTTATCCTAAATATCTAAAGATTGTGTAAACTATAAAGAGCATACATTTTCTTGGAATGCACGTTTGTCAGTTGTAGGTATGAAGGTCACGTCCGACTATGCTTTCTCGAACTGAAGGTGTCAGGTCAAGATGATGCCCCACATCCACATAAACGCAGGCAGAATTTAATAATTCAAATGCACGATGGTCTAGACAGTTGGCGGGCATGCCTTGGCATGCCGTGACTTGCACGCCTTGCTTTGCCTTGCAGCGTCAGCGATATCATCCTGCTGGATATGCGAAGACATATATATATACATATTCACGTAAGGGGGACTGACAGCAAAGCACTGGATAATTGGTTGCCCTTTACATCTGCTACATCAGGACCAAGGGATTGGAACATGATAGCCTGGCATGAAGTGACACTAGTGCCCATATTTAGATTTTGAGATGTTAGTTTTTTGGCTGTAGTAAGTGCTTTCATCAGGCCATCTGATTTTGACAGAATTTCAACTCCAGGTTACTATTTTGTGCACTTTGCAGAATTGACTCACAACTTCTTGAAACTACGTGTTTTCAAGTTTGCGATGTCGTTATGTTAGGTCACTCCTGTTATTTGTCGTCACCGAAATCACCACTGACGTCGAACAGCTGCTATAAGAGCCCTTCCTCGCCAACACACCATGTGACGTCACAAGCGTCTGTATCCAAGCTAACCTACTGAAATACCAATTTTGGCGTCTGTCGCCATGGCAGCCAAATGAGGAAGCACTGTTAGGCCCAGTTTTTCAATCGCAAGTTCACTTCTACTTGACTACTAACAAGAAGTTAGTCATAAAACACGTTTTTCATTGTCACTTCTCTCCTAAAGCGGCAGTAAATTTCAAACAGGGGAGCATCTATGGGTTAACTATAGAGTTGTGGTCAAATCGCAGTTCTAATTTAGTGTACTTTTCAGTGAAATAAGTCAAACAAAAACAAAGAGTGAAATAATGCGGCAGTTGAGAAAGGAACTGGAAGAAAGCACATGTTCAAGCCGCAAGGCGGAGAACAACAAATTGTATCAGTGACACATAAGTTACGAAACTCATAGAACACGATAATTATCATAAGCTTAACATATTAAACGCATTTTTGACAGAAATAGATTTAACCTAATCTGGCTCTGGGGTACAGATTTGGATTCTCCATACTGCCACTGATGCTAAAAGAAAACGGGTTAGGTAGAGCCAAACGCCTGACATCTATCACACCCGCCATAGTCTTGTAGTCAACCGTAACCTCAAGAATCTTGATTTCAACAATGATGCTGCTATATGTATGGATTACATTATGTTTCGTTTCGAGTAAATATTTGTATGTTTTCCATCTTCAGTACTCAGAACGCTTGCGAACGCTATTGTCCCTCAGCATTATGTGTGAGGTAAAATAATGGTGAAATAATGTATATTCCATAGAAACAGGCAATATGTAAATTTGAGGCAATTGTGAAGCAAAGCACGTCTGCAAATAAGCTCGCGTCCAATTTATGCCCTCCCGCCAGCCGAAAGATTTTCTGACAAAAAGAGAATTAATGTCTCAGTTAAAGATAATTACTCTGCACCTCTTTAGAGAGCGGAAAAGTTGATGAATGGCCGTTTGCAAGTGATATACTATGCACCGGAACAAAACAAAGAATGAAATAATGCAGAAGTTGACAAAGGAACTGGAAGAAAGCAATATGCTATATTTCATAGGAGCAGATTAATAACTCGAGAGAACCATGCGTCGCGTATAGGCGCAAATAAGTTTAAGTTTAATAAATACCTCCAGCTACTGCTGTTTGTGCTTAATTTGTAAACAGTCATCATCACCTAATTTGCCCTTTCTAGATAAGTTTAAGATCTTAGTTCACGGATTCATTTGATGCCATTGGTCAATAATAATCTTGAACTCAACAGACAGCAGATTTCTCTCTAGTGAGTTTGCTCTTGTGGGGGCCGCGTACCTAGAACATAAAATTTTTAACAACAACTTATTCTGGATGCATTTATTCCAAACAATAATCCAGGACATTCCTAAGACAAAGAATGAAAATTAGTTTTTATAACGTGTACGTCATCTTTTGATACTTTAAAAGCTATTTATATATGAGGACTATACATCCGGATAAAAGACGAAAAAATTACAGAACAAAAGGGTTGGCCTTTATTATTATTATTTAGTAAGCGATAGTTAGTGGCATGATTTTTTTCTAGGGTCTCACATAATGTGCATAACTAAAAAGCGGTTCAGCTTTGTACTGAAATGTACATGACAATCGGCCCATGAAGTTCTGTATTGACCTTCCAGACTCGTTTATACAGGGCGACTTCGAAGTTGAGTCATTTATTTTAACAGTGAGTAGATCTGATCAAAAGAAATGTTTTTTCCTTTAACACTTTTATGGTAAAATTAAAGTAACAAAGTTATAGCCCTTTAGAAGTTTGAGTACCGCCCTGTCTCAATAATAATATTATGTCCTCGCGTTTGGCAACAACGGATATAATGCGCCTTATCGGTTCATCGCATCGGAAACAAAAAAGCGAAAGAATTTGAAACGTCTATCACGATGTTTTTACTACAATTTTATTCAGTTGTATTCAGTCAATGTGTCAGTCGGTAACGAGTGAGTGAATAGTGGTGTTTGTTGCGTGGCTCAAACGAAATAAAAAATGGCACATGTTTACGAAAATGCTGAACTTGTGGACATGATTCTTATTTACGGGGGGGGAGTCTTTATAAAATGCTGCCGCGGCATCACGGATTTATGCGGATCGGTTTCCCAATCGAGTGCAACCAACCCCTCGTGCCTTTGTTAATGTAGTACAAAGGGCTCGTGAATCAGGTGACTTAAGACCTCACAGGGGAGGGCATGCCGGTGCTCCAAGACCGCACGATCAAATACAGGTCCGCACTGAAATACTTGTCGGGTCGATACTTTATAAAACAAGGTAACATTTTTTTTTATTTTTACACACATATTTTGGTTTATCTTCCTTCTGCAATCATTATCTGAAAATTAATGACTCAACTTCAAAGTCACCCTGTATAGACTCATACTTCAGACCGACTGTGAAGCTAGGCAATAATGACTGACGACAAAGAACGAAACCAAGCATCTTAACGGCGCTCTCACAGTCAAGCAGAGTTTCTGAGGGGAATCGGGGGGGTGATAGGGAAACGCTAGTAGGACGGCGTTGTGACAAGGCAAGCGCTCTACGTTAGAAAAGGATAGTAATACGCAGAGGTGTGCTGTTCGCGTGCCTGGTTGAATTTGCATATTGCACAGAGTCGGATTTGATTTGGATATACGATCTAGCGTACGACTGTTTCCCTATTTTGGCGCATAGTATACTCAGCCCTTATTACTTTTATTACCGTTATTGTATTGTTGTATTATCGTGTTGTTATTGTTGTGTTGTTATTGTTGTGCTGTTATTGTTGAGTGTCTTTCTTATCAAGGTATCAAAAATGAACAATAAAAGAAATAAACGTGGCGTCTCGAAGAAGCCGCATTTAAATACGCACAGGAAAAAAAACGTTTTCCAGATAGAAAAGTAGGTACCAAAACAATTATGAATTTTAGCATTCATTTTGCCAATAAATTAGACTATACGTAGTTACTATTATAACTATATTTTATATGTTATTTTAGCTTAAAAATGACAGCAAGGTTTCGCATATGCATTCTCTAACAGAGACAGATGGCATGGATCTTCAAATTCAGGTGTGTATACCCTTTTTTTTTAGATTTGCACCAGAGGCTGATATCATTTCTGGCAATTCTGATTAAAAATGCAGTAAGTTTACTTCATGACGTCGATAATAGTATTGTAGAGCAGTTTAACTCAATCATAGCTAAATTCATTGGGGGTAAACGGATTAATTATTGCAAGAAGAGATCCTACCAAGGAAGATGTGCTGCAGCCGTAGTGAGCCACAATACACAGCGACCTGTTTGTGTGATCCAAAAGCGGCTACTCCCTAGTTTCAGTCCAACCTCTTTGATTGCTAAAGTTGAAGAAAGGAGAGCGCACAAAAATCTGAAAAGGAAGCTGAAACCAAGGAAAATTAAAATCAGAGATAGTGATACTAAAGAGAACGCATCCTATGGGGAATTCTGTGAGAAGCCTGACATGAGCAACGAAGATATAGAGGCTGCCAAGGTAGAATTCTTGAAAAAACTTGCAAAAACCGACTCCAAAATTTCCCAGATCGAGCAAGCCACAAAATCTCAGGATTGCAATTTGTGGCGTCTTCGTCGAAGAATGAGGTTGACTGCGTCTCGGTTTGGTGAGGTTTGTAGAAGAAGAGATACAACAAGTTGCAGAGCTCTAGTAAACGCCATAATATACCCAACCGAATTCTTTAGCAATGCATGTGACTATGGAAAAAAGCATGAAAGCGTGGCAAAATCAGAAATAGAGAAATCATATTCGCAATCAGAAGTACAATCTTGCGGGTTGTTTATTGATAGGACCCATCCATTTCTGGCAGCATCGCCAGATGGTTTGATAGGCGAAAAAGGTCTGCTAGAATTTAAATGTCCATGGTCGGCTAGAGAAATGACCCCTGAAGAGGGCATTCTGAACAAAAAAAATTACGTTTTGGATAAACGATGAAATAAATAAAAAACATAAGTGGTATTTCCAAATTCAAGGGCAGCTACACGTTGCACAAAGAGAGTACTGTGTGCTTGGTGTTTGGACCCCGTATGGTTTGAAAATAGACGTCATTCGAAAGGATGACGTTTTCGGGAAAAATGAAATGGAAGAGAAATTGAAATTCTTCTACATGAACTGCTTGCTCCCAGAACTGGTCGATCCCAGAAAAAGCAGAAATATGCCAATCCGCGATCCCGATGTGATCTTGAAGGCACAAGAGAACCGTTTGAACAAGAAAAAGAGTTCTTGAGAATTGGCTATTTTTGCTGTACTCGGGTACCAAAATGGAAGAGATTAGCATATTACATTGTACTCCGTTACTAACCCCTTCGTGTCGGCAAATGCGGTGTGCAGATCTCGCTTTAGCAGCGATGTGCGAGATGTTATGCTAATCTCTTCCATTTTGGTACTAGTACCAGATTTTCACTATTTATTGTATATTATGTATATATTGTTTATTTAAATAAAAGTCAATCGTCAGGCTCAATAGCACGTAGCATCGGCTAGCTTTATCTAGTCTGTTAGATGGCGAATATTGAAATGTCACATTGACACGTTAAGCGCCACAGTAGAATCTGAAAATCCAGTCCACTGGGCCAAACTGTTATTATTGTCAAATTAGCTTGTTTTAAGTTTCGGTTTAATATTTTGACTTGACTTTTTTCTCAAATCCTATGATTTTTCCCCTTTTTTGATTTTTTTTTCTGAGGTACTAATTGTATGTCGCGTGGCCCACAGACCAGTCGGGTCG